ATAATCAGGGATCACATTCAATTCTGAATGAATTTCCTCAATCGCCTTTAAAACAAATTATTGTATTAATCGTGTTATACATTCATTTTGACACTTAAACTGATCACCCATATTTAATTCTTCCACAAGAATTGATCTCAATTGATTCTCATTTTTTCCTTCTTGCATCGTTTTGAGTTTTATCTACACCATAGTTCCTCCAAACTATTGAAAGTTGCGATCTAATCCAAAGAACTGATAAGCACGATTTCCAGATAGAAACTATTTTGTGGATCTGACAAAAATCATTAGCCACTTTGAAATGGATCGATAAATCTGATGAAAACTATAATAGCAATTGCAATAGGTTCTTTCTCAAACACCAGTTTTTTAGTTGAGAAAACTGCAACAAAAAACTGGAATCTAGAGTGAAATGATGACCATACAACGATCAGAACGACAACAAAACGCTCGTGATTTTGTTCAATGATCCTTTAATTATGCAAATAGAGGAGTAGATTCGATGAGCCGTGAAGTATTCAAACTGATTGATTTGCAATCAAAAAATCTTTCAAATTTGCAATTAATCAATCGAATAATGCAAGATTGGTTGGCATAAAGGATAAAATCATAAACGTGTAGCACTAAATGGTAACGAAACTCTACCTAAACATTCAAAGAATTTATTTTGTATTCTGTAAGATATTTTGAAATTCAGTATTGGTCGGTAATAGAGGTATATCCATACAAAGGATTATGTCAGATTGCAAGAAACGCTTACGATACATGAGTGTATCCAAATACCGAATGATCCTATAAGCTTCTGAGAAGCGTATGTGTATGTCAAGCATTCATATTGAACGATACCATTTGCATGCGTAAGATATAAATAGGATATTTGAATACTGCATTATTGTTCAATTGTTTGTTTATGTTTTTCATTTCGGTGTGTGTTTGCGCACACGACGCTCATGATTATGAAGAAAGACTTCGAAATTTTTGTTGAAGTGTAACGATGCGATTGAAAGAATGAGTGCAATAAACGCGTAGTAATGAGATATGAAGTGAGATATCGTATATGATACGTCGTAATAAAATTCGCTCGGATGAATGAATATATCGTGAGGATTACAACCGTTCAGCCATTTGGGCACTTGTTTTTTGAAGTGATCCAATTATTGGATGGATTGGAAAGGTGATGATGATAAAATGTGAGGCAATCACACAAACGAGCAACTGAGTAAAGATTTATACATTGGATAAGAATCTAGACATTTTGCCATTAAAAAATTGCCACAAGAGCAAACAGTACCCAACCTGAGTTCGAGTGACTTCACGCCAGATATTTGCAGATCGCGATCTACAAAAGTCCACTTCATTTTGCATAATCGCCTGCATGTGCTGCATGTAATTGTAGAGCATTGGTACGAGCATAACACAGAACATCGTCGCCATAGCTGACAGTGCTACACCACAGAACGCATATTTCCTCAGAGTTTCAGCTTCACGTTGTCGTTCAAACAACGTAATCTTATCCTCCATCTGAAATGGATGACGGCCATTCGCATCACTTGTTAGATAGCGTCTTTTAGCGTAATCTTCACGAGGAAGTATAAATAATCTCATGAAAACCAAACATTCCTTTCTTATTAGATGACAAGTCATTTATGGCATATCCACAAGCAGATCATTAGGTCTTACAGCGATGAAAGTGATCACTCGATGAACCGAACTCAATTACGTTGAGCGGTTTCTGAGAATGTTTGGATCAATGAAGTATTAGAATTCTTTTCTAGGAAATGTTTTCAATATACTCATTAACGCAGTATCTGTATCAATAGCAGAGTGGCACTCATAATAGTGCCAATAGCGAATAGAATTCTGAAAAATGGAATGAAACTGCTGCCGAGACGTGGGACTATCGAAAATACATTGTCGTGAATGTCTATCATTGAGGAGGTGTGTGTACGCGTCTGTTTATTCGATTAAAAATTATTGCGATATCGGATTGAGAGTCTAAACAGGATGAAACTATTATAATTCGAAATCGAATTGTTGTTGATTTGATTGAAAATGCAAACGCTGTGAAATAATCAAATGTGAGCGCAATGAAGTTGTACGCGAATAACAATTGACTGAACGAATTTTATGGACTTCTGCATGAATTACGCTTTGGGATGGATGGATTTTTGTTCATTGATTGAAGGTGCACAACGCTGAGAGTACAGAATGAAGAAAGAAGGGTTTTCGTGAATATTTCGAAATGTTTCAGTGCATAACAGCGGGTAGTTACAAACAATCAGTAACAAGCAACAACAACGGTGATGAGGAATTTGGAGTGAGAAATATTTCGATTACAGTTTGAGGAGAGAATCAGTCAAAATCGTCATATCACAATTTATTCGATTCAAATTAGATTCTAAGTTATTATGACAGTAGAAAGGTGATGAAATTATGACGATGGATGATCTCACTGAATTCCTCCGATTAAATGGAATGAACGGTTCACTGAAAACTGGAAATTGGGAACGAAACGATGAGCGATAATGTTTCCTTTCAAAGCGAAACAGTTACTAAAGCTGATTG